CCTCTAGAAGTGCACGGGGGGGAATACGGATGGAGGGAACATCACCCCCGGCAGGAGGAGGCGGGATGACCGAACACGGGATGGAGAAGGACGGTGATCCCTAGGCGAGAGGCGGAGCCGGTCATTTGGAACAAGAGTGACTAGAAACCAGAGACGAAGGAGGCTGCGGTGGGACTGGAGGGACTGGGCGCCTCCGATAGGAGACTGGTGAGCCGGGCTCGATGCGCGGGGAAGGCGGAGTAGGAGGAGGTGCCGTTGCGTAGGATACCGGGGAGGCCGGGTGAGACACGCCGGATGGAGAAGGCCTCGGAGAAGGGGCAGCGGCCGGAGGTGGGGCATCGAAGTCTGCCCAAATAAGCGTCGGGGGAGGTGGAGGAGGCTCGTCCATGGTCATAGAGTAGAAGGGGCGTGTCTCATCGAAGACGACATCACGGCTGCGAATCAGCTGTCTGGTGATGGGGTTGAGGAATAAGTTTTCTGGGGAGTTGGAGTTGTGCCCCAGGTATATGCAGGTCTGGGTTTTGGGACCAAGCTTGCCACCTTGCTTCCTACGCCTGTGGGGGCTGAGCAACACATACGCGGTACACCCCCAGACGCGTAGAGAGCGGGCGGAAGGCGTGGCCCCAAGCCAGAGAGTGGAAGGTGTGGTGTCGGGCCGGTAGGGATGCAGATAAAGATTGTAGAGGAGTGCAGCATGGAAGAGGGCATATCCCCAGAGTGACCGTGATGCTTTGGCGTGACTGAGGAGGCAGCGAGCGATCTGAACCAAGGTATGGTTGCGGCTCTCCGCAATGCCGTTCTGCTGCGGGCTTTCAGGGAGCGTGAAGGTTTGCCGAATCCCTTGGGTCGCCCAGAAGTTATCAAGTTTGCCATTGCGAAATTCTCCCCCGCCATCAGAATGGAGGCACTTTAGAGGAGTGCCGAACGTAACTCGAGCCTAGCGCACCCATGCTTTGATGAGGTCAGGTGCCTCCGCCTTGGTATGCAGGAGCTGCACAGAAACATACCGTAACTGGTCATTGACTAGTGTAAGAAAGTACGGATGACTGCCTCGCGATGCGACTGGAGCTGTGCACTAGGTCCAGCGGAGCAGCTGCGACGGATGGGGAGGAAGGGTGCGGCTGCTCCCTGAGCTTGCTCTTGGTGCAGTCCAGGCAGGTGGGTGCAGGCGACTCTGTTGGTGGAGGAAGCGCCGACGAGAGGCCCAGATAAGTTTCTTGGAAGCGATATTGGCAAGTGTACGGAACTTGGGGTGACCCAAGCGATGGTGGTAGAGGATGGTTGGGTTGGCAAAGCTGCGACAGAAACACGGAGTGGTGCTGGCAGCTTGCGATTGGGAGAGGGCGGCGAGAGGTGCAGGTGAATGCACCGTGTAGAGCTTGCTGCTGTTGAGTATGAAGCGTGCTAGGAGCTTGTTGGACTTAGGGTCGAGGAGGTCACAGAGATCCGAGTGTGCTGGAAAGATCGTGGTGACGCCTGCCCGTTGGAGCTCGTGTTGGGCCACGAGATTGTGCCGTAGTGTTGGAACACACATGCGAGTCATTCTGCCCGAAGGAAAAGCTGGGCACGGAACTGTGGAGGAGCCCTTGGCGTGTGTTGTGAAACAGGGGTGTGCTCCTAGTCGACAGATTGGTGTCTCGTATGGCTTGAAGGAGTGTTCTTCCTTGAGAACTGTCTGAGTGGCCCCACTGTCAAGGGTGAGCTCCATTGTGGCTGAGGTGCTTTGTAAGCCGGGACACTGCGAAATCGTCTCATTATTCATGGCAGTGCCAGGGAACAACATGTTGAGGCGCACATCAGCAGGTGCTGCCACAGCAGCCTGCACGGATTCCTGCGCTTCGACTTGATTGACTTGGCGAGGAGCACGATTGACCATCTAGCTTGGCGGCTTCGAGGCGGTCCCATTGATGGCATACCACTCGTTATCCTTCTTCTTAAAGAAGGAGGCAAGGGCATGGTTGGTACCGCCACACACCTGGCCGGCACGAGGGCCGCGCTTGATGACGTAGGGACACGGGGGGAAGCGGTTGCGCTAGAATGGCGACGAAGCGGCATAGGCTTGAGGCACGGGAGCGCGGATTGGATTGGCCTTGGCTTGAGCGCTGTTGTCCTTTTTCGGCACAAAGAAGCACGGATGAGACCTTGGCAAATGTGAGGTCCGCAGGAGCAAGGCCCAAGAGCATCTTGCGTGTGACTTCGTATGCCGGAGTGAGGCCGACTAGGAGAGCGGCTGCAGGGGCTTACTCGGGGAAGACTATCCCCAACTGTTTGAGTTCACCATGAATGGACTGCACCTTGGTGACATAGTCCGCCATGCCTGGGGAGTCCTCGAGCCGCACTTGGAACATGCTGGGGAGGAGTATAGCAACTCCCACTGCTCTCTTGTACAGGAAGCGGTCTTCGAAGTAGAGCCAAATCGCGTTGCCAGACGAGTACTTGTGGTAGGTTTCGACGAGTTTGGGAAGAGTGGTGCCCATGAAAACACTAATGACCGCAATATCGGCCTTTTCCCAAATCTTGTACTTCAACAGTGCAGCAGCATAGACTGCTTCGGCGGTGGCATTAGCTGGATCGGCGGACCTCTCGGGTTTAGGAGGCTCTTTGCCGTCACCGATGTTGAGAAGGACGTCGGTGAGCTTGAGCCCCTTTACCTCGCGACTGAGGAGGTGCTTGTCGACACCATAGCACCGTAGCGCGATTAGGATGTTGATCCGCGTGTGCGGATAGGTCGCTCTGATAGCGTGTAAGAAATAGAGTTGAAATGATGAACTAGGTAAGGAGCCGAAGGCCATATAAGTACATGGCAAGGTGAGAGAGAATGGATGTAGGGGGGAATCGGAGGGAATCCCCATTGGGATCTCCGGAGTCTCCAATTGGGTAATTGGAGATTGGGGGGATCACAATTGGGTGAGGTTGGGATTTGTGAGTACACCCCAACCCAGCAGAACATTCCTAACCTAAACTAGGATATAACAGTACAAGTACAAAAATGGGATTTGCAGTCTATTTCTTACACCACCACCCAGCACGCGCTTGCCGTTGACCCCGCCCCAACTGCCGCCGTCCCCGCCCTGACTGCGCACCAGCTGCAAGCGCTTTTGGTGCGGTTACAACAGCAAGCTCCTGCTGTTACAGTTGGAACCTCATCCGATAACGCTGCGTATGCGATCAATGTCAACAAAAAGAAAGAATTGGCTACCCCCACTCGCGCAACCAAGGCTCCGTGCGCAACCGACCAACCCCCTGCACCAACTCCTGCACCCGCTGACAACCTGGATGACAGCAACGACTCTGAAAATGGCTACGATGAGGCCCTTGCGAATATTGCTCGACGTCGCATCCCCACGCCCGCAGCTACTACCATCATGTGCAAGGGCATACACGACCAGGCCGAGGTCCTCCCTGCTATCAAAGTGTACCTTAAGGATATCAATTTCAACCTGGACCATGGCGACGTTGTCGAGGCACCCAATAACGTTAGGGATATCAAATACATAATGAGCAATTCGAGGTCCTTCTCGTGGCAGACGAAGCCAGTTTTGAGGCCACTAACCGTTTCCAGGACTTTCACTCCAAAAGCGTCCTGACATCCAGCTCCTATACGCTGGCGGTCACTGATGTGGCGGCGCTCAAGCGTGCACGCCTCGGCTGCATGCGTGGCGGCCCTCCTGGTCATTGCGACACGGACTTGGACATCAAACGCTCCCCCCCTGCCACTTGCCAGCAGCCACGCTTCAAGGGAGTCTGATTTCGCTGCGGCCAGCCAGGCCACATGGCCAATGCATGCCCCATGGGAAGGCGTAATGCACAAGGTCCCTCACCCATTGTGTATGTAAGAAATAGAGCTGAAAGGATTAATAATGTAAGGAGCCCAAGGCTCTATAAATACATGGCAAGGCGAGAGAGAATGGATGAAGGGGGAATCGGAGGGAATGCCCACTGGGAACTCAAGAATCTCCAATTGGGTATTTGGAGATTGGGGGGATCACAATTGGGTAGGGTTGGTATTTATGAGCACACCCCAACCCACTAGAACATTCCTAACCTAAACAAGGATATAAAAGTACAAATACAAATGTGGGATTTGCAATCTATTTCTAACCTATCCCCATAGACTGTAAACCCGGTCAAGAAGCACATAGCCCTATGGATAGGAGAAGGCAATGGTGGTCAGCCTTGCCAAGAGCCTTGGTAATGTTGGTTAGAGAAGGCTATAAGCAGATGATTCAAGGGCTCCTTGGAAATTTCTGCAGCACTTCGTTATGACGCCCAGAAAACTCGCGACCTTCGAAAAGCTATATCCAAATCTCCAATCGGTGAAACGATCTGAAAAATCAGATATTTCGTAACTTGCAGCATCAGCTTTCCATTGAAAGTTAAATCACTCGATTCCGTAGCTTATCGAAAGGGCTATGGCGTTTGGCGCACTGGGGGGTAATCTGCCCTAGGAGAAATTGACAGTCCTCAGAGTCATTATAATTGAAGCTTACAAGTTCACCGGCATGATGGAAAAGGCATTGAAGCACAGTTGGAAGGTGGGGTAGGAAGGGAAGGACCCTGGAGGGCTCATGGTCAAGAACATGACAAGAGTCAAAGTCTTGACTCCCATCCACAGGTTCAACCAGCTTGGCAAGACAAAATTCACACTGTGCCAGGTTGGCCTCCAAACCCCAAATGCTGCAGCTGCAAGGTGAGGACAAAAGTCCCACACATGCTGGTCCTTTCTCGTTATAGGGCTCTCCAAATTTGGTGTAGCAGCTGCCAAGGACTTCCAATGAGTTGTAACAAATCCATCAAACATTTCTTCGTAACTTCATATGTGCTCCGATTCCAACAATTCTTGGCTCATTAGAATGTGCTCAATGTCATGCACAATCCAAGCACATGTGCACAAGCACAAGACATGCAAAGACATGCAAACCCAACAAACCATACAAACAACATAGCACACAAAACACATGCAACGAAATCTTGCGAACAGACGACAGGATGACGTGCAAACGAATATGCACCAACACACTCCCCCTCAGACTGTCGGCTTGTTTCGCCGTCTCTAGTTCAAGGACATTCCCACCATCCTTGCACAGCGCCAGTGTGGCTCTTCAGCTAGCCGCTTGGTAAGGAAGTCGGCTGGCTGTTGCTGAGTTTTCACGTAGATCGGATTCAGTGTCCCAAGCTTCACCTCCTTCCGCAGCCAATGCCACTTGATCCTCATGTACTTGTTCAACCCATGAAGAACTGCATTGCGTGCCATGGAAATGGCTCCCTTGCTGTCACTGAACAGAGGTGTCGCACAAGTCTGTTCATGGCCGATCTCCTTCAAGAGCCTCCGTAGCCAAATGATTTCTTTTGCCGCATGAAACATCACCATGTACTCAGATTCCACTGAAGATAGTGCCGTTTCAGACTGCTTCTTGGACCTCCAACTTACAGGCCCACCTCTCACCATGCAGATGTATCCACCTACTGATGATGAATCCTCATGCTCAGAAGCCCACGTGGCATCAGCAAAACAGGAAAGGAACACCTTTCCTTCTCCGAGCTGCTCCCCCTTCTCTTTGACGACTTCAACTCCTTTTTGACTGAGTTGAGCAGAGGCTGAATACTGTACTCCCACTGTAGGGTATGACTTGAGGCAGCGCACCACTCTCTCCGCTGCACCATACTGCTCTTCTGTTGGATTTTGCACTACTCGAGCCAGCTGTTCCACAGCAAAGCTGATGTCAGGCCGAGTATGCACAGCAGCGTAGAGTAGGCTCTCGACCATGGATTGGAATTGCCTCTGGTCTTCACACTCAACTCCTCCTCCTTCAGCTGCCTTTATGAGTTTGAACTCGGAAGGCAAAGGTGTGACCACTTCCCGTTCTTCCTGCAGAGAGTACTTCTCAGCCAAGGTGTTGATGTACTGTCCCTGATGCATTTTGAGCTAGCCACGTTCAGTATCCCGCTCAATGTGCATTCCCAGGTAGTACCTTGCCTCTCCAAGTGACTTGCACTTGAAATCCTCTGTGAGCTTCCGTTGCACCCCATCGATCTCCTTGTCACTGCTGCTGAAGAGCAAGATGTCATCCACGTACACCAGCAGAAGCACAAGTGACTCCCCCTCGCCCATCAGGAATAGGCTCTCGTTGCATGCACTTGCACGGAATCCAATCCCTTCCAGTGCACTGGCCAGCCTGTTGTACCAGCATCTCGGGGCCTGCTTCAAGCCATAGATTGCCTTGTTAAGTTTGCAGATACGATCGGTTCCATCCTCATAGCCAGGTGGTTGAACCATGTACACCTCCTCTTCCATAATGCCGTACAGAAAAACGGTTACGATGTCCATCTGCTTCACCTTCCATTTGCGCACAGCAGCTACCGCCAGCAGCACACGTAGCATTGGAGACTTAGCAGTTGAGGCAAACACTTCTTTGTAATCTTCCTTCTTTTTCTGCTGAAACCCCTTTGCCACCAGCCTGCTCTTGTAAACTGATGGCTCTCCTTTCTCATCCGTCTTGATTTGTGCCAGCCACTTGCACTGTGTTGCCTTCTTCCCATTTTGCAAGTACACCAGGTCCCATGTGTGATTCTCCATCTGGCTGTTGTACTCTGCATCTCTTGAAACGAGCCATTTCCCCCGTTGAGGCCCAGCTAGCGCATGATCCATGCCGGAGGTTGTATTGGTGCGTAAAAGCAGTATGCAGGCTCCTCGTCATCTGACTCTTGGTCATCACCCAAGAACAGCACTGCATCTTCGTATTGAGCCTGTTGCTGCTGCTCAGTTGTGGCTCCTCCACTTGTAGAGCTCAGCAGTTTTCTTGTTGCCATTCTGGTGCGTGCAGGGTAGATGGTTGGATTTACCCATACTTTCACCTTCACCCAATCCTTTGTTCCCCCACCAGTCTGTTTCCTTCGCTTTGGCAGACTTGGTGCTTTGGAAGCCTCTTGCTGCAGCTGCTCCGGATCCTTGACTTCAGCATCAGCTGCAGTATCCTCATTGCTTCCTTCATCAGTGCCACTTGCCCTTGGCGCAGTGACTTCACTGTCATCAGGTTCGGAGAAATCGAAGTGCATAGTGATCTCTTCCAGCTGCTGAGTGACCCTTGGCTCCGGCTGCTTCTCCCACTTGCCATACATGATGTTCTCCACAAATTTGACATCCCGACTGTCAAACAGCACATTCTTTGAGGGCTCCCAGAGTAGCCACCCCTTGCTCTCTGCCGCAAGCCCAAGGTGCACACACTACAGTGCAGATGCTCCAAGCTTTGTCCTGTACGGTTTAGGGACATGCGCCACTGCCATGAATCCGAACACTCTAAGCATGTCCACTGGAGGCTTCTTTCCAAGCCACCTCTCCAGCGGCACCCACATATCATCAGCCACCTTTGTGAGTACGCGGTTCCTTGCCACTGTAGCATGCCTCACCGCATGAGGCCACATGGAGTTCTTCAGCCCTGATTCGATCAGCAGTGCTTGCGCAGTTTCCAGGATGGTCCTATTAGCCCTCTCAGCAACGCCATTTGACTGAGGGGTATAGGACGTCGTTAGCTGATGCTCAATGCCTTGTTTCTTGAGCCACGCAGTCAGATCTCCTCCTAGAAACTCTCCACCTCGGTCGGTTCTGATGCTCTTGCATGGGTGCCCAGATTGTCGCTCGACGAACGGCAGCCTGTCATCTCGTATTGTTGAGGCAGCATGATCCTTCTGCTTCAACGAGTATGCCCACATCAGACAACTCCAGTCATCAACTATTGTCAGGAAATACCTTTCCCCTTTACTTCCTTGAACTGGAAAAGGTCCTACCAGGTCCATGTGCACCAGTTCCAGTGCTGCCTTGCTTTTCCCAGCTACGCCGTGAAAGGGGAACCGTGTGAACTTGCTCAGCAGACACGTCTCGCACTTGGTATAATTTGGTTGCCCAGAAAGCTTCAGCCCCTTTACTGCTTCTTCTTTATGCAGTTGCTGCAAGCAATGGCATAGCCACATGCCCTAGACGCCTGTGTGCGGTTTCCCAATCAGTCTCCCCCGACCTTGCAGAAACCGTCACTCCTGCAGCACTAACTGTATTGCACTCCCCCTGGACTCCAGATCCCGCCTTTACTGCTCCCAACTCCTTCATTATTGATTCCCATATCAGCGCAGGGATCTGCCACATGGATCTGAAGACAGCTCTGCTTTCGTGTAAATCCCACAACACACGATCTCCTCGCAACCCCTTGAATGTTTTGGATCCATTGGTGGTGGTGCTGACTCCGGCCTGGCCTAGCTTGCGCAGCGATATCAGATTGGCCTTCAGCCCTGGTACGAGTAGCACACCCAGTCCACCATGAGGTGCTCTGAATGCACCTCGACCAACTCCAGCGACCTTCACTGCATGTCCGGAGGCTGAGCGCAGTTCAGAGATTGAAGGCGCTCGCACAGCATCCAGCAAGTCCTTGCGTGGTGTCATTGTCCATGTAGCACCAGAGTCCATGACCCACATGTCAAGCGGGTGCAATTCTGTTAGAAATAGACTGCAAATACCACTTTTGTATTTGTACTTTTATATCATAGTTTAGGCTATGAATGTTCTAGTGGGTAAGGGTGTATTCACAAATCCCAACCTCACCCAATTGTGATCCCCCCAATCTCCAATTACCCAATTGGAGATTCAGGAGATCCCAATGGGGATTCCCTCCAATTCCCCCTTCATCCATTCACTCTCACCTTGCCATGTACTTATAGAGCCTTGGGCTCCTTACCTAATAAATCATTTCAACTCTCTTTCTTACAAATTCCTCTCCAGCCCTTGCAACAGCTGTGCCACTGTCATCTTTGTCACACACATGGTAGAACTGTCCAACATTCCTCTCCTCATTTCCCATTCCTCACCCAATTGTGATCCCCCCAATCTCCAATTACCCAATTGGAGATTCAGGAGATCCCAATGGGGATTCCCTCCAATTCCCCCTTCAGCAGGATCAGCTACCATGTTGGCACCTCCATTTAGTTGCTTTCCTCCATTCCCCTTTTGCGATTGGTTCCAAGGGGTCCACCAGTCGGGCTTGGTAGAGCAGCGAAACCATGGATGCCCTACTTCCTGGCAATACCAGCACTCTCCCCTCAAGCGTGGTTCACTGTTGTCATTGTTGGAGTGACCACCTCTTCCTCTTGCACCAGCGCCATCACGCCCCCGCTGGTTCCCAGTCCCGCGACCACCTTGGCTGTAGTAAGAGCGACCGCGATTGCCACGCCCTCGATCCCTCCATGTCCCTTGCATGGCATAGCCGCTGATGCTGTCATCTCCTCCGCGCAGTGTATAGCGACAAAAATCTTCTTCCAGAATCTTGGTGCGAATCCACTCCAATGTCCATTGACTTTGGTTTTGTGGCAAGCTGAGTCCGCTTATAAATTGCAGCCAAGACTCGGGCAGCAGGCTGAGCATCTTGAGACACTTTGTCTGCTCGGGGTACGTGATGCCAGCAATCGCCAATTTCGCGTAGAGTTCCCTCATCTTGTCCAGTACGGGCTGCACGGGTTCATTCTCGCTCAACCGCAGCATGGACAGCTCCCGATCCAGCATGAGAGAAGCGGCAACCGATGTCGGAGGGTGCAGGTCCTTGAGCACTGCCCATGCCTTGGGCCCACAATCAGTTTCCGGTAGCACATGCATGATGCGATGCCTCTGGTTCAACTCCAAGCTTTGTGACACTAGATAATACCCAGCAGATGAACGTTCATCCAAATCCGCTCGCTCTCCCGTTTCCTTTGGCCTGGGCTCCGTTCCAATCATGAGCTTCAAGAGGCCAATTTGTCGAAAGTAGAGCTGCATCTTCCGTGCCCAATCATCATAGCCATCTTCAGAGAACTTCTCAATGGTGACCCCTGGCTTGTACGCGCTCCTCTTTGCGCTGCAATGCCAGAATATTGGGTTGAGCTGCCTCCTTGGACTGAAGTATCACCTCCACCAGAGTCCTCCTTATCTCGCATTGTATTTTAGGTCCCAAATGCATGATAATGGGCTCTGATACCACTTGTTGGTTAGAGAAGGCTATAAGCAGATGATTGAATGGCTCCTTGGAAATTTCTGCAGCACTTCGTTATGACGCCCAGAAAACTCGCGACCTTCGAAAAGCTATATCCAAAACTCCAATCAGTGAAACGCTCTGAAAAACGGATATGTTGTAGCTTGCAGCATCAGCTTTCCAATGAAAGCTGAATCACTTAATTCCATAGCTTAACGAGTGAGCTATGGCGTTTGGCGCACTGGGGGGTAATCTGTCCTAGGAGAAATGGACAGTCCTCAGAGTCACTATAATTGAAGCTTACAAGTTCAAAGGCATGATGGAAAAGGCATTGAAGCATAGTTGGAAGGTGGGGATGGAAGGGAAGGATGAAAGGGAAGGACCCTGGAGGCCCATGGTCAAGAACATGACAAGAGTCAAAGTCTTGACTCCCCATCTTCAGGTTCAACCAGCTTGGCAAGACAAAATTCACACTGTGCCAGGTTGGCCTCCAAACCCCAAATGCTGCAGCTGCAAGGTGGGGACAAAAGTCCCACACATGCTGGTCCCTCCTCGTTATAGGGCTCTCCAACTTTGGTGTAGCAGCTGCCAAGGACTTCCAATGAGTTGTAACAAATCCATCAAACATTTCTTCGTAACTACTTCATATGTGCTCCGATTCCAACAATTCTTGGCTCGTTGGAATGTGCTCCATGTCATGCACAATCCAAGCACATCTGCACAAGCACAAGATGAACATGCAAAGACATGCAAACCCAACAATCCATACAAACAACGTAGCACACAAAACACATGCAACGAAATGATGCGAACAGACGACAGGATAACATGCAAACGAATATGCACCAACAGCTGGGTACTCTGAACAAGATATCGGATGAAGAAATGACGAAGTTCGATGTGTTTTGTGCGAGAGTGGAACACAGGATCCTTGGTGAGGTGAATGGCACTCTGGTTGTCACACCATAGAGTGGGCGACTGCTGGAGGTAGCCTAACTCAGCGAGGAGAAAGGAGAGCCAGCGTGCCTCTTGAGCAGCCATTGTGCCTGCGTAGACCTTGGCCTCGCAGAACGACAAGGAGACTGCAGAGGACCGAATGGAGTGCCAGCTGATGACTCCGCTACCAAGG